CTAGAAGATACAGTAAAATCAAACAATTTAGAAATTTAATTTTTTTTGAAATAAAGTTTTCGACATTTTGGGAAGGGAATATTCGCCTGTCCGTTATGAGTGTTTTACAAAGAATCGAAGTTGTTCGGCTAGACGACCTACATTTGGCCAAAAGACCGGTCGAAGTAGTGTAGTGGTTAGTATTCCACGTTGTGGCCGTGGCGACACAAGTTCGATTCCTGCCTCGGTCGTCTTGTAGAAGTGAAATCAGGGAGTGATCCACTGCGTTACAGAAGAACCGTGGAGTGCATCAGAACAGAAAGTTTGAAGAGAAAAAAATTGCGGTATCAGTGTCGTCCTTTTGACCACGCCTTTCGTATTCTTGTATGCGACCATATCCCAGATACTTTGCACTGTTTTATGTAGAAATCATAGCTGACAAGAAATACTCCGCACCACAATATCGACATTTTAGCGCAGTGGAAGTTCACTGGGGAAGCTGCAGAGGTTTCCTCCTGCTGTGCTGATGTTGGCGAAGTATTCATCAGCCAACGTGTTTCCCCAGTGCCACGACGCGGATTCTGAAGTGTATGACAATTCAGCGGCTCTGGACACCGCACATTCGTATTAAATACAATACTCAGACGCTTTGTTAGTTAGTTACGCGCATCCGGTGCCAATTTTTCTTCTGTTCTAAATTGACGATTGTCCTCTAAAGCGGTGCTTATCTTCGTGACTTAATTCCCCAGAAGATGCCCAAGAGAGGAATCGAACCTGCGTCGCCACGGCCACAACGTGGAGTACTAACCACTATACTACTTGGCCCGATCTCCTGACCAAATGTCGATCGTCTAGCTAAACAATTTCGATGCTTTGTAAAACAATCATAACGGACAAGCGAATATACCTTCCCCAAAATGTCGAAAACTTTATTTCAAAAAACATTAAATTTCTAAATTGTTTAGATTTTACTGTATCTTCTGGAAAATGGTAGAACGTGCACTGTAGAAGACAGCAGGGAGCCTGAGGAATATTATTAGTTACGAAAAAGCAGTAGCAAAAAAGTCAACTGCAGCCTGGAGGAGGTACGAATTTTTTATCTGGAACGTCCTGGAATGAAGAGTCAAAAGAATCAATGAAAACCGTATCTTCTTTCGCAGCAGGCAAGATCGGACAAAAAATCTCACAAAATTTTGACGCTTCCTGTCATTTTTAGAATTCAGCTACAGCTTAAATATCTTAAGTATGCTACAGCCTGCAACGGTGAAGAAAAGTAGATAATTATAAAATTGTCAAAAGTTCTCCTTTTAATTTTTTTATTTCTACTTTTCTATTTTTCACTCGCCAGATTTTGAAAAGCATGAAGATTGCTTGAAGAAGACTAGATTTGTTACTTCCAATTTCAAATCTTTTTTTTATAGTTTACGAACCTTGTTGACGCTGATTTGATGACGAGTCATGTTGGACATAAACAGATTTGGGTAAAATAGTGCAGAACAGATAAACGGATTTGGGCAGAATAGCGCAGAATCTGTGGGCAATAGTCCTGCAAACACTGATGTGCCTCATGCTGGAATCGAATCAGCAGCCTTCTGTTTACGAGAC